GCTCAACGAGTCAATGCTGCTCTTCAAGAATACGATATTACACGATTAGACTGGCCTGCCGGCTCGCCCGACTTAAACCCAATAGAGCACGCGTGGGATGCTCTTAAACGAGCAGTATGGAACTGTGAGCCACGTCCCCAGACAGTTCCAGAGCTCAGGGAAGCCGCTATTGAAGAATGGGATAGGTTACCCCAGGAAATGCTGGATAACTTGATCCTCAGCATGCCCAGGAGGATCTTCGCATGTATTCGAGCCAGGGGAGGAGTTATTTTATATTGAATTCACACCTTTTAATAATAAATTGTTGTTTAAGTTTAATTAAACAGTCTTTTTCTTTCTATGAAATTTCTATCACTATTACATTATGATTAATGGCTCAATTTTTTAAAATAAATAATAAAAAATAGTTTTATATTTTAATTTCAAACAGGGTATTCCTATTTAAAGAAAGCATACAACATAGATTTTTCTTGATAAAGTTAAATTTAAAGAATTATAGGAGCTTATGCTATTGATCGCAAACTTTTTTTGATGTGTGTATGACACCCTTCGGCCAAAATTCCTCTTTCATGAAGGTCGAAAGATGTTCGGTCGGTATTCTCACCACAAACGAATTGAACGAATTTAATATTAGGTGTCGTTAGATTCGTTTTGATTGTGGGAGTGTCATGGACTATAAAAATAAATCAAAATAGTGAGGGGGATGTTTTTGTATCTTTCCCGCTAAACATTTTTGCCGTCAGGTTTTTGTTGTTTTTAAATAATTTTTAGATTCCGGATTTTCTTGTTTCGGATCCAAATCGCGTCTATTTGTTTTTTCAAACGCATCACGACTGACCGAGATGATAAAATCATCAACCAGTTATATCTAATATTAACGCAAACCACAATATTTTTCACTATAGTTACAAAAGTTATTAATTTAGTACTTTTTTTCAAAATAACTTTATTGATAACTTTTGTTAAAAAAACCAACAGTAGAGCTCCTTGTGAAAGAGTTCGTCCAGGAAGGGCGGCTCCCTTACCTATTTCTGCCACCAAGCAATAATATGAGCATCACTGTGTTCCGGTTTTAAAGGGAGGGGTTGATGAAATTATTAAAGGGCGCAGTGGCAGTGGCCCTCAGATTTAAAGTTCTGAATGGAGCTGCAACTGTCCGTCTTGTCACTTCATATTGTAAAACAAAAAAAAACCTCGAAATATTCATTGAAATAATAAAATATTTTGCGAAAACCGTGTAGTAGCTCTATGTTCGCCTCGTTGAACTCTCCGGTGACCAGAATGCAGCTGCTTCCATCAAAGAATAGCTGTCCAAAAGGGTAACGTAGCCTAGTCTCCTGAGTATGATGCCTGCAGACCGCTTTGAAATTTTCATTCTACTTTTATGATGAATAAAGTGTTGTGTTTTTATTAAATTATCATATGTAGTACTATACACAAATGCTTATTTAAGCCTTGGTAGTCTAATGGTTTGACTTGAATGGTTTGATCAAGCAGTGGCTGCGGGTTGGAATCCGCGCTCGGACCAGTGAGTATTGAAATAAAGTTACAAAACATAATCGAACATCTAGGAGAAAACCCTATCGTATTCTTTTCTATTAGTTGGCAAATGCATTGCTGTAAATTTTCTATAGAACCTGAAAATTCTAGTAAATTGAAATATTCCAAACTTCCTGTCTGGGTCGCACCCAGAGGCGAGGAACTTCTGTCTCTTTTGTACAAAGGACTAAAAGGAAAGGAGGAAAGAGACAAAAAATGTTAAGATTTGCTGCTAGTTATTTGCTCTTACTACGTGTTAGAGCAAAGGCAATCTTCTTGTTAGCACAACTTTCTGGATTCGAAATTCGATACGGACTTACACTTTTATTTGGCGAGCTTACGTATTTTAATATCTTAAACTGAAGACGTTTTAGTAGTAGTAAATAAAGTTCCTTGTGAAAGAGTTCGTCCAGTGAAGCAATGTTAGCATTACTGCGTTCCGGTTTTAAAGGGTAAGAGTGCTGGTGAAATTACAGGAATATGAGACTTGTCAACGTATGTCTCAGAGCTACAGGCATCCTTTTAAACTAGCCTATACTCTAATATTAATACAATACGATGTGCTCAGAATTCTATTCAAAATGCTGAGACTTTATAGCGCCTCCGCCATGTTTGCGGACGATCACCTTGATGATTTCTACGCTGTTATACGCAAACGGAGTACTTCAATACTGTTTTGCCTCTGGACCTGCACCAACGGTACCTCGTCTCGTGGCTCGCCTATGTATAGTGGTCGCAGCTGCATGCCAGTTCATGCCGCTTTATTATTTGGGTGAATTGTAGTTGTTTTTATTTAAATTTCAAGTAAATACTCTGTCTTTTAATTTTTAACCGACTTTTAAAAAGGAGGAGGTTCTCAATTCGACTGTATGTTTTTTTTTGTGTATGTATGTTACACAATAACTTTTAAAACGATTTGAAAGATTCTGTTTTTGTTGAAAAGGGGGTACCTCAGCAGTGGTCCCATTTAAATTTAAAGAAAATATTCTACATATGAATTATTTTTGTTAATATTAATTTAATTTTTTTAATTTTACTATCCATTATTTCAATTTCAATTTCTTTTTCACAGATTATTGCAATTAACAAATATGGGCCAAATTGCCTGAAACAAATGATTATTTTATGCAAACGAGTTTATATCGAGTTTGCGTGTAAAATAAATGGTAGGGTTTACCGCTTCCTTCCTAGAACCATAAGCTCAGTGCAGCGAATATGCTGTCTCTTGCAACGGCTCTCTATGATTTATTCATATATCTGTGCTTTTAATACGTTTGCTACTTTAAGGTATATACTGTATAAAATTCTCTATAATATCTATGATTTAGATGCACTAGAGTTTTAAGAGAACAGGCGAATATAAGTGTATTGAGAAATTCTTTAATTTGGTAAAACATCACTTTAAAAAGTAACCTTTTTAGTAGCAGTAGAGCTCCTTGCAAAAGAGTTCGTCCAGTACTACCACTTTGACTATTTCTGGTAAGGTTGCTGGGGAAAGTACCGGCACATGGGTCTTGTCAACTTCTGTCTCAGGCTGTGCGCTGTGGCAGTGCCCCTCAGATCTTTGCTATTTAAAGCTCAGAGCGGCACTACAACTGTTATGAACAGGCGTGTCGCTTACCACGCGCACGACTTGTTCTTCCCGACACTTGGTATTATAAAAAACCTGTAGGTTTTATCACAATGTTTTCCTTCACCGAAAATTCATGGTAAATTTGATATTAAATTTTGCATATTAAATTCGGAGAAACTCAAAGATGCGAGGCTGGATTCGAACCCAGGGCCTCTGTTTGAGAGGCGATAGGTTAAACCATTGGGCTACACTATAAACTATTCAGAAAAAAAATTAGTAATGGTTATGTGTGTATCGATTTTACACGCATTTCCCAGAAAGATATCCGAATATTTTCACATACAATATCACCGTATATCTACATTGTTATGATCCAACGATGATACAGGTTAACAATGCGGCGTAAAATTTACAAGTCCTGTATATGCTTGTAGTTTCACCAGTAACATAGTTTTTTTTAATGTTAAGGGTGCTGGTGAAATTATAGGCACATGGGACTTGTAAATTTATGTCTCAGGGTGACGGGCGCAGTGGCAGTGCCCCTCAGATCTTTGCGATTTAAAGCTCTGAGTGCCACTGCAACTGTTATGGATAGGCGTGTCGCTCATCACCAGGCGCACGACTTCTTCGTCCCGCTGCTTTATATCTTAAAAAAGCTCCTTATTGATGATACGATAGATAACATCAATTAAAGAAATATCAGTACATATGTACATAGTATAGGGAAAACAGACTTACAAGTTCTCTTTTTGACATGAATACAATTTCAAGTTCGAAATCAACAACTGGGACATACAAGAAAAATTGAACGTGTCAAAAACAGCTCATCTTAAATTTATTTTTCATTTCAGGAACTATGATACAATATGTAATATAGATTTGTATGTATATATATTATAGCTTTATTTGCCACGTTACAGACTATAGCATTTAACATGTCAAAAACACAGAATATCTTGTTAGTCAGTATTGCATAATTAAATTCAAACATGTACAAAAGTACAAATAAAATATTAATAAAATCATAATAGTAATAGTATTTTTTACCAAAAAAAACTCAATAATAAATTATTAACACGATAGACACGCATAAGGTCAAAATATTCGTCACAACTTTGAAGTCACCATTAAGCGCACGATTTTTTCGTCCTGTTACTTGTTATTATAAAAAAAAAGCTGAATGTTCTTCCCTGGACTTTCACGAGGAACTCTACCGCTACTAAAATAAAATAAATAAGCAGAAAGTTTCATCGAGGGCACTGCCCTGAGGCATTTCCCCTTTGAATAGCTAACATTATTCTTATGCCTAACTTTCCAATTGATGTGTGCTGTTTCTTCTTCTAATTGTAGCCATGGCATACACTATAATGCTGTATGTTATTTGATTGTGATAAAAAGATTTGCAGTCAGCTTAAGGTACTCGCTGGTTGGAGCCTAAATTGCGTCAGTCGCAAAGAAAGGAAATGGTACGTCCTGCGAGAGGCTCCTTTCGTGAAATGCATATGAAGTTTTCAATCGATCATTATGTTGGATAAGGTCTTCATTCCCTCAAAAGAGGGTTCTCCAGCCACTGAATTTGAACTCGCATTTAATAGACGATCCAGTTTTAAATATAAAACGAACTTCTCTCCTTTCTTTCAAATCTATAGACATTTTAAAATTCCATATTCTCTCTCATCCATCATATTTTCAACTTCAAACGTAAATATTAAACAATATTTTCCTTTTGTTCCAGATTTCATATCCTGCGGGAATATCGTAGCAGCAATCTATTTATGGCATTGACTTGTGGCGCCTCAAAGTAATGCACTTGAAATAAAATGTATATTATTATGAAACGTGTTTCACATTTAACAAAATCTTCTTTGCAAAAGAGGTAAAACAAACAATGTATTTTGAAGAGCTAAGAGAAACAAACGGATGTCGCGATTCCGCGAGTTTGACGATATTATTTGGAGAAGATGTAAGTGTGTTTAGGGAAACAATTGAAGATCAGAAATATGGGTTTAGAAGTGAACCCAATGCTGACAGTAATAAAAGTGATCACAAAGAAGAATTTAGTGCTGAAACCGAGTATTCAAATGAAGAAACAAATATTGTTAAACATCTAGAAGTGAACATGAATTCATCTAATAATACCGTCGAAAATTTAAATAACAACGACATTATTAAAGTTGCATCTAAAATGACTAAAAACAAATCGATATTAGAAAAAGACAAAACACAAAGGAACGTTACAAGTAGAAGTGCAAATACATTGTTCCTTTTGTTGCGGATATTAAAAAGTCTACCAATATTTCTAAGCCAGGTGATGGTAATAATCATATTGGTTAGCTTTGTTTGTGCATTGAAAGAACAGAGATTTGCTATTGAACCTCAAGATCAGGTGAGTTTTTGTGATTTTTATCATTATTAAAGATAGTTCCTATTTTACTTCTAAAACGATGTTACTAGTAATTGATCGTTTTCTAATGATACCTAGAGCCGGGATGAGCATGACCAATACAAGCCTACCCATAACAGTAGCAGAGTCACTCAGAAGTTTAATCAAACGTCACCGTGAGATATATAGTTGACAATGTTCAAGTGCCTATAGTTTCACCTTTATCCTTCAAAACCGGAATGCATTAATGCTCAGCACAGAACAATAAATAAAGCAGAAGTGGTTAGTTAGCATCTGATGCGTGCCAACATTAGGTCTCGCTTTCGAGTCCGCCATTTTCGCTTTGTATTTGGTTGTGTCATTCTTTCGCGCAAATTCTCTGAATTCACAGATATAGCGGCTGGGTAAAGTGTCAATTATATTAACAATCCAGAATGTGTTACATCTTTTTAAATTAGAAACTATCAAATCAAATCAAATCAAATGCATTTATTCGTCAACATAGGATACAGTACATTGAAATACATGGTATTAAATAAGTTATAGCGACTCTCTATGTTGCACCTTCAGGCATACGAACTACATAAGTGGATGATGAACATGGTTATTTTACTTAATTATTATTTATTTACTTAATTATTACTCAATTTTATTTAATGTCAAATTACTTAATTATTACCGAAATATTCGTTTATAGAGTAAAATGTTTCATTAACAAGGTATTCAAATAGATTTCTTTTAAATGTTACAATGTCCTTAATGTTCCTTATGTCAGATGGTAATTTATTATAAATCTTGGCACTCATTGCAATAATACTATTACATAGGAGGGCAGATCTGCCACCTACGCTGTCAAGTTTATTATTCCTACGGGCACTCTTAACACAATTAAAGAAGTTTGGATTGCGTCTGATGAAAACTGCGGTATTAAATACATAAAGAGACATTAGCGTTAGTAATTTATGTTTCTTAAAATAAGGTCTGCAGCTATCTGTTCGTTTTAGACCACACATTGCTCTAATACACTTCTTTTGTGCTAGGAACACTCTCTTCACATTTATAGCATTACCCCAGAAAATTATTCCGTAGCGCAATTTTGAAGCTATGAAACCGTGATATGCTGTTAGAACCACCTCGAGGCTAGCTTTCTTCCTTAACATAAATAACGCGTATGAGAACTGATTCACCTTCTTACATATAAATTCTATTTGGGATTGCCATTTCATGTTACTGTCTATATACAAGCCTAGAAATTTAGTAGTAGTGGTCATGTCAACGTCAATGTTATTATTAGTAAATGGGTTCAAGGGGGATTTTTTTAGTTGAAAGCTCATAACTTTAGTCTTACTGAGGTTTATACTTAAGTTGTTATTATTAAGCCACTCTACTACTTCTTTAAGACTGTCAAGTATTTTAGATTTGTCTTCGTACAGTATAGTACAATCATCTGCAAATAGTACCATCGGATAAAGTGTGGATTTTATTATGTCATTAATATAAATTAAAACTATGACCAGTCATTATCAAGATTTCGTAGTGTTTATCATTTGTTTGTGTGAGTTTTGGCGACAACGGTTCCAATAGTAATCGGGGCTTAAGGCACTTCCATTGTTCTTTTGCTTCCGTGCTCACATTACTGCTTAGCAGCAGAAATGAGTATGGTGGCATTACTTTCCTGGATTAAGTCTTTCACATGGACCTCTACTGTCACTATTATAAGTATTTAGCATTACATATCAAAATTATTATATTTATATATCAAAGTTCATAGTATTGGTGTACGCTGGCACAAATTCTTGAAATAATTTTGTCATCAATCATGAGTGGACGTAGCTTACAATTTTGGCAGAAAGAGTCGTTTACATAATTCGATCCAGGATTGTATGTACTAATTTGGAAAAACAGTAGTTCATTTTTGTTAGATCCACTAGCGCAGTAAGGGATGATTTGTCAGTCTTTATGGCTTTAAGTACTACACGGGATGTTTTAGATTCCCTGAAAATCCGCATCGTCTCTTCGCAGACAGTGGCGCCGCATCGCGCACGCGAAGCGCTGATAACGCACCTACTCCACGCGCGATCGCGCTGCTAAACGCATTGCTCACCCAGTATCAGGATTTAGATTTAGACATATTCTTTGACAAACAGCATGTTATTCATCGCGGGATATTGCTGTTCTTGAACTACCTATCGAGTACTGCTGCCGTGTGAGTGAATGGCATGCTGTGCGCAATTTTAATTTTCACTATTTATTTTGTTTTCGATGTTATTTTATTCAATCTATTATTTTATTTTCCTTATTAATATGTTCAATTTAACTTGTAAGCGCTTTGGTGTTAATACTGTAAGCTTCCAAGTGTTTATAAATAAATAAATAAATAAATAAATAAATAAATAAAACTTTTATAATCTTCGAAAGATACGGAAATCTGGTCATGTGGGGTAGCCCACTAAAATTCCCTCGGTAACCATCCTCTGTGCATGAGAACTACTCTTTACGATTCTGAGTGGTGTTCGATATTTGTTTATGTTTCCCAGGGGCCTACAATAATCTTTCATAAAATAATCTTATTTCAATGTAAACTTATAATATCGCACTGTTGCTATAATAGTGTATTAACTCAAAAAGTGTATTTTTTAAAAATCGCTGTTAAAATACGAATTACTCGGTTCCTTTGAAAGATCATTAAAATTTATGTATGTGTTTAAATTTAGCACAATTTCCTACTTATCAGATATATTTAAATTAAGTGAAAGGGAAAAAAATCATTAAGGACTGTTTTGGCTAGAACTAGCTCAAATAAAGTTTTTCTCATTTTGAATTAAGTAGATATCTTTCGATGGTTCCTTATAACATTTTAACGACAGTTTTATTGACGTGTTGGGAATCAAATTTCACCTTCAGCAATGATATAATCTTGAATTTCACAAATTTTGAGTTACAACATTATTATAATACTAGTGCGATATTATTCATGTTCGTACCATGGTAAACCTGTCCATCAAGTAATGTTAAGTGATTGGAAGAACGATTGATTTTCCAAGTTTGTCTATTTGTTGCTAAAAGTGGGAAAGAAATAACGCTATATGAACTACATAACGCCATCTCTTTCTTTTTTGATGGTCCGAATCTTCCAATCGCAATATAATATTAAAATACTTATAGTCATCATATTATTTATATTCAGAAAATTTTAATTGCCAAAAAAATAAAAATATGTTTTGACGGCCTCAGTGGTCGAATGGCTTGTACACCGATTTTCATGGTGTCGCCATCTCTGAGATCCCGGGTTCGATCCCCGGACGGATCCGTGCAGAAACTAACTTTTCTATATTGTCTCGGATCTGGGTGTTTGTGGTACTTAAGTACTTTACTTTATAACACAAGTACTATAGCAACTTACTTTGGGATCAGTGCAACGTATGTAATGTTATCCAATATTTATTTGTTTATGTAATTATCAAATCTATTACGAATACGTTGTTTTCAATTATTTTTCCTCAAGAAAAATAAATAAAAAAAGCTGAGCTGTGATTGTCACGTTGCGTTGTGAATTCAGTTCCATCCTCTAAGATTCGAAATTAGTCTAGTGTCAACTGTTAGTGCCGCTGATTTTTTTTAAAACGTTATCGGTGAAAGACTCCATCGCGGCTCTACACTATACTCTTCTTCTTCTTCTTCTTCCTGTGCTTATCCCACGCTAGGTGGGTTCGGCACAACATGTATTTTTTTTCCACTCTCCCCTATCAGCCGTCATTTTTATACTTGGACCTTTCTTATCCATGTCATCTTTCACACAATCCATCCATCTTTTCTTTGGCCTTCCTTTCCCCTTATATCGCTCCACATTCATACCTAGCACTCTTCTCGTCACATGACATTCTTCTCTCCTCATGATATGTCCATTCCACGCTAACCTATTGCTCCTCATCTTTTTCGTCACTGGCGCCACTTTCAAACTTCCCCTGACGTACTCATTCCTCCATCTTATCCTTTCTCGTCACTCCACACACCCATTTCAATATTCGCATTATTCTGATCCATACAACATGACAGGTCTAATCACGGTCTTGTAAATTTTCCCCTTTAGCTTAAGTGGCATTCGCCGATCGCAAATAGTGCCGTTGACCTGTCGCCATTTCATCCATCCTGTCCGTATTCTGTTCTTAATCTCGCCGTCGTTCTGTATTAACGAACCGATGTACCAAAAATCGGAGTAGACTGGTAGGGATACACCATCTAAGGCAATATTGGTAAAGCTGGAGGCACCGCCAAAGTCGAGAAAAAGCTGTTCGGTTTTTGACCGGCTAATCCTCAACCCGGTTCTACACTATACGCCAATACAATACATGTGACAATCGATTTTCGACTAATTACATTGATTTCGAAACATTTGAATAGTTTTGTGCATTGTTTCTAACTCAGTCAAAGAGCATTAAGTAAAACAATGATTATTATATGAAAATTTAGTAACAAATAATACCATGAAACAAGTAGCGTGTTATTACAATCATATTGTGACATTCGAGTCACTGACAGTGCTGGCTTGGAAAATGCTTATGGCACCGCGACGCGGTCGTAGCTGATCGCTCTGTTTACTTTTCCACCAGAGCTGTGTTAAGCGAGGCCAGGAAAATAAAGTAATTATATTGGTGGATTTTTCTCGCATACCGCCTCGCTACGTCGCACATCTATGTTACAAGGGCATCCGGGCGTTGGTTGTGGGGACATTCGGTGTTCTAACGGAGACAGATTCTTGAGGCTGGATGACATGCACTGTGTTTCGGTACGTCATCAACATAGAGGAGGAATCGTTAAGTAGTCTCTCAAGGTGGTGCCGGAGACTGCGGTCGCTGGTGGGTTCGCGGTAGTATGTAATTGCGTTCTCGTGTTACCATCGGAAGTATAGTAATAGTCGGTACGGGTCCGACATAATCCTGACGTCCCCGGGTGGAAGGTGTCTATAAAGGCCCACCTAAGTTGAAAACGGTTCTTATACTTACCTATATATACTCACACCCTTGGATTACGGTATGGAGACACTATCGATCGCCACTTAGCACTATCCATAAAAACCTGTCTTGCCTCACCTATCAATCTTTCTATTAATCAATCTTTTTATTAAAGCTCTCTTATTCTTCTTACCACGCTTCCCAACCTTTTTAAGAACATTCTCAATTTGACCTGTGAATGATAATCGTGTTTGTCCTCTTCCAATGATGCCTTCCACATTAGCTCTATACATTTCATTCGTTTCTTTACATTCATTCATTAGCTTCGTGTGCTCAAACCACCTCAACATACCCTACTTTTCCTATTTTTGTCACTGTATCCCCTTTCAAACCACATCGTTCATGGATCACAGTTCTGATTTAATTAAAAACGAACTTTGCCAATTTTGTCTTTGTAGGTGTAGCGTTGGCGTTTGCTTTTTAAGGAAAATCAACTACACAATATCGTGGCAAGAATTTTTATATAGGTACATGAGAACATTCATTTTGGCTTTACGTAATATCCCCAAAGAATTTTTATAACTCCTTCGTGGAGATTATGAATTTTCTCTTATTAGGTTAGAAATGATAACCTTGTCATCAACGTTAGGACAAAATTCAACGTTAGGATAAAGTTGTCAAATAAAAAACGTTTTCTCAAATACATCTGTATTTATGTTATATGCTTATGTCAAATCAAAGATGATGAAATTATAACATAACTCGGTGTACTAAGTTATTCAATTTAGTCCAGAATTTCATGTTATTTTAATAAAATAGTTTTGATATTCAATATTCGAGATGCTGTTTGCCCATTCAAGCAAATTTTACGGTATGTTTAATAGTCTTTCAATATTGTGCTTTGGTTTTATCGTATTATGTTAGTTTTATTATTGCAATGGAAAATCACAGTTTTATAAAGAAAAGACGTTTTATATAACCATTTTTGATGGATTTTATGTGGATTTATATATTGAATGTTTTTTTAATTATATTTGTCATCAGCAATATTGATTGCTGATGACAAATGATATATGTGATATGATATATATATATATGATATGCATATTGTGCATACGGGGTATTTTACACATGCCGACGACACGCGTACTTATACGCGCCGCGCTGTAGTGAATCGATACAAACGCCTGTAAACACCGCGTTCTTAGCAAGAAGCTTTTACACTTAGAATTTTATGTAGTTGCTTCATTTCAAAAACTAACTGAAATTAACATACAAAACTAAAATTAAAACTATCTCTTTTCAAAATGCGAGGAGTTGACGTGCGACTTCAGTGCGTCTGCGGCGCGTATACGCGGAGATGACGCGTTTACGGCATCGTCGGTGCGTATAAATACTCCGTTTGCGTAGACTCTTAGCATTATAAATAAGCACGTCATCCAGTTCAACATTACTAGTAAAGGTGGTGATTTTATTAAAAACCTGATCATGGGAAACGAAGAAGGTCGGCGTGAATGGGGATGATCGAGAATTAGTTACTGTAGAAGTCACTAAAGGGGCAAATGTCAAATACTCTTCTGACATTCAGGCACGTTTAGGTGCAAGGAAAGATACGTACGGACGTATCAGATGTAACAAGTCTTTATCGCACAAAATTTACAAAGGACATATACAACAACGGTGAGCTTATCTCTAGAAGAGATCTCTTCTAGCCCATCCTAGCAACGGTGAATAAAGAAAATCGGCGGGAATATTATTGTAGTAGAAAAATAACTTACTATTTAAGAGTTGTGAAACGGTAAGACGATGTAAAACCCAAAAGGGTTTATATTTAAATAATTACTATTGCTATAGTGACATAACTTCATGAGGATATAATCTCAATATAGAGTACCAAAAAAACCGACCTCAAAAGTAGGACTACGTGGAATTACGTCTATTTGCTAAGTTTTATTGAAATATCCCCTAGTTCGCCACTATACAGGACTTGACACTGGAGATAATAAAAAATAGGTTCTCACTACGACACTACTCAAAATATATTGAGGGAAAAACGCCTTGAATTGGAGACATAGCAAAATCAACCATTAAAGTAATTGCACCTAAATTAAAGTTAGGCGCTATTTATAAAAATGAATCTTCATGCGTGAACAGCCACACTTCGAGGCGGATGATTTTCTTCAAAATGATGGAAATGGGTTGTTGGAAAGGGGGTATTTGGTGTGGGTCATAGGAACAGGTGACGAAACATGGATATATAGTTACGATCACAAAACAAAGCAGCAATCGAGCGTATGAGTCTTTTGAGATGAGCCAATACCAACCAAAGTAGCGCGTGTGCAACACTTTGCACAAAAAGAAGGAATCATCCGCTCCTTCTAGAGGCACTCCTCTAAGCGGAAGATTGTTTCTTTTTTTTAATAAAACTGGACACGTGGCTACTGTTGCTTTGGAGAATCCGGTTTATTGGAAGTTATTGACAAACTCCGTAAATATAACCGTAAACGCCGTATCATCTTGCACCACGATAATGCCAGTTCTCACACGGCAATGAATTTTTGAAGGTGAACAACGTTGATCTTATGAGCCATCCCGCGTACAGTCCAAAATTGGTTCATTCATATGAAAAAGTGCATTAACGCTAACGGAGAATATTTTGAGAAAGAATAAATTCATTTCTGATCATTTATAGTACTTTTTTCTTATTCATCCCGGAAACTTATAGTGCGCCTCACGTATGAACATGATAATGTATTCTTTTATTTAGATGCTAACAATAAGTTAACTAAAGTATAGAACTATGCAGACGACATGGATCTACTGAGCCCATCTATCACTGGACTACAGTTACTGGTAACTATTTGTGAACGATATGTTGCATCGCATGGCCTCAACTATAATGTTAACATGACTGTACTAATGGCGTTTAAGTATGGCAGAGGACCGGACAACATCCCGCCTGTCACATTAAATGGCACCGTACTAAGTAATTTAGCGAGTTTTAAATACTTATAGCATATACTTACCACAAATGAGACGATGAAGATCTAGAGCGACAGAGGCGGACTATAGTCATGAAGAGTAACATGTTGGCGCGTCGATTCGATAATTGCTCAGTTCAAGTAAGAATAACTCTGTTTGGGGCTTATTGTTAGGCGTTCTACACTAGTCAATTGTGGTATCATTATATTAAGCGACCTTTTGCTAGACTCAGAGTTCAATACAACAATGCATTTCGTGCTATATGCGCCGCGTCCTTGGCGGTGTGTAGACTATAGTTTGCCGTCAATAGAGTAGATGATGTTTTCGCCATAATACGAAAGAGACATTGGTCCTTTCTTACGAGATTGAGCGATTCGGCCAATATTATTGTAAGGACAGTATGCGATACGCGCTACTTTCTAAGCGAACACTAAACTTCACTTTAAAATATAAATAAATAAATTATAATTATACTACTATTTGTAATGTAAATTCAATTAAATTTAATTCTTAATTATTAACTTCATCAACAATAATAATTTTCCGTTAATAAAATTCAATTTAATTGTAATGTAATAAGTAATGTTAAACCTATTTATGGGTGTATACTTAAATAAAGAAACATTTTTTATTTTTTTATTTTATAGATTAAGTAGCAGTGGAAAGCCTTGTAAAAGAGTTCGTCCAGGGAAATGCCTTACGTCTTACTGCCGCCATGCAATAATTTGAGTATCACTGTTTTTTCTGTTTTGAAGGTTAATGGTGCTGGTGAAATTACTAGCACATGGGACTTGTCATTATAAGTCTTAGGGTGACGGGCGCAGTGGCAGTGTCCCTCAGATTTTTGTGATATAAAGTTTTTGATGGCCCCACAACCGCTATGTACAGGCGTGTCGCTTACCACCAGGCGCACGACTTGTTCGTCCCGTCAGAAAATATCTTATAAAAAAATATTTGTGAAGACTTAGTTACTCAGACCGCTTGCACAAGAGACATACGTTCATCCAGCTGGACTTTCACAGCTTGAATTGCTTGTCCTTATTGGAAAACAAGTTTCCTTGTGCTAGGTTTATGGCATGTGTGTATCAGAGTAGTATTGGCTTGCCACCGTTCACTTTTGTAAATAGTCGTCCTCTAGGCAAGAATTTTTAATATCCACAGAAAATTCACGAACCATGTCAACTTTAGTTGCCGAGGGAAAGAATAATATCGGGGATTGTTATTACTCCGCAGGGATTTTGCCGGAATGTTTGATTTATGGTTTAAGGTCTGGGGGAATTAATATTCGGGTTTGGGTTTGACGGTTGAAGTTTTGGAGTCTTTCCTGGTGGTTCATATTGAAAGTTACTTAAAATTATGTTCTTGTAACGTGGCAAATGAGAGATGAATGTTATTAACGTCACAAGTTGAAGTGCCAAGGTTATGTCAACGAGCGATCCGTAAAAAGATGAAAGATTTTACAAGGACACGTTTGAAATTCTCGAGATTTTTTCTTTTTAGGTCACTCAGGACCATCTCTCGAGAGCTTGAATAGCTGTGTTTAATATTTTTGGCAGCTTAAATTGTAACTGTCTTAGCCGTGAATAAATATATTTTGAATTTTTATGATTATTTATGTTTTTTTTCATAAAATAAAAAGTCGTCGAAATTTTGTCGTCGTCGAATGAGTTATTGTGGATGATTCTTTTATGTCTTATTTAATAAAACAAACATTTTTCAATATGTTTTCTTTTTTTACAGAGTGCTGTAGTGGGATCGAGGGTGACACTTCCCTGCAGAGTAGAGAATAAAGTTGGTCAACTTCAATGGACAAAAGACGACTTCGGACTTGGCACTCATCGGCATTTGAATGGATATGAGCAGTATAAGATGATAGGCAGTGATGAAGAAGGTAAGGATATAGTTCACTACTTTAGAAGTTAAAGAGATACAATGGTAGCAAAAGAGCTTCTCACGTAAGCTATGGATTAAAACCAATGTTTTTGTTCTGTAATGTTGAAGATCAGTTCTAGAATCTTATTCATTATTTTGGAAATGAATTATTTGAAATTTTAATATCTTTCTGACTCATGTCCACATGTTCTTGACTGTAAAACAACTTTACTCGTCATACTATTTGCAGATATTAGAAACCAAGTTAACTAAGCTGAACTCAATGTATTTGTCATATTGTTCCAAGTTTTGGGCAGGACCTCTCCATACTCGTGAAGGTTTTGTTAGGCCGCAGTCTCAAGTTTCAAGTGCTGGTATGTGAAATTGAGTCGAAGATTAAGTTTGCTTGCCGAACAAGTGCCTTTACACTTGGTCTTGTTATGTCTTAGGCAAGAAATCCACAGACAGAGACTTCAACACATTTACTTATTGGTTGTACCACTTTATAGAATTATGATATTTTTGTTACAGGAGACTACTCTCTTGATATAGCTGAAGTGACCCTCGATGACGACGCTCTCTATCAGTGCCAAGTTAGTTCAGGGCCTAGAGGTAAGACTAATTAATTAATTATCATTAAATTAATCAATTTAATAAATGTCATGAGTTCCACTAACTCGACGTCTCTCTTGGAACAAGACACCTCCAGGGACATATTCCAAGGCCAATTAATTTAGAATTCACATATATTCAAATATAGCCTTCAACGTCAATGTCGTATCTAGTATTATGTCGTATTTTATTTCTTCTGCAGTTTTTAATCCTTTACAACCCGTCTAACTAAAACTAGCTAAGTCGATGCGCAGTTTTACTAACACCAGACAGGTTTGCGTGTGCATTGAGGGTTACTGCAAAGTTGATTCAACTATACTATAATAACTAAAAGTATGTTTCAAACCATAGCACGATACATCGCATTGTAAATTAACACTTTTTCATGAGAAATTTAATGTGTGGTGAATAGATTTCTCTTCAAATCATAAAACATAACACAAATCAGTATTTTGGTTTTGTTTTCGATAAATGATATTTAAAAAATATATATACGTGTTGAATTAATAATGTGTAATTTTTTGTGAAAAATATAAAGATGTTCGATTTTCTATAATATTCCTTTTATTAGTTTTTTGACTCTAACAATTTTTAATGGTAGCAACGCAATAGCATAGTATAAAAAGACAATATGGTAACTCCATACAAATGTAGCAGCGTGGTTTGTATGTGTGTGCGCCCGCCGCCCGCCGTATACGAACGCACACTTTTCGCGTTGCATAGCGCTGGTCGTCTCACGCGCCTTTCATTATTATAGCTTTCATCATTATTTCTGTTCAGTAAATTACATAATTTAACATTTCAAACCATTCAAAGAGCCCAATTAATTGGAAGATGAGCACGTAATAACCATCTATTGATTCGGGTATCTACAGATTCTATTAACTGTGATGCGGTAAGAATGGTAAGCTAAATACAGGTATCCTCCAAGGCGAAGCTTTAGTTCGTCGCTAAGTGTAAATAACAAGTGACGGTATGAACAAAACATGCGCCTGGTGGTAAGCGACACGCCAAGCCATAGCAGTTGCAGTGCCAATCAGAACTTTAAATTACTCAAATCTTACCGTCACCACAGCGCTAATCACCTTGCGACATAAGTTGACAAGTCCCATGTGCCTGTAATTTCACCAGCACCCTTATCCTTGCAAATCAGAACGCAGTTATTCTGACATTACTCCTAGGCGACAGAAAGGGCGGCTCTTTCGGAAGGAGCTTTACTGCTACGAAAAGGTTGTAAACCTGCTTCGAAATACTGGTTAGCTCAAGATGTTTTTCCTCGCCCTTATCATAGGTATACGTCACTATAAGGATTCTAATCGTCGACCTCTCAATTACGAAGAAAGAAGAAGAATATCGTAATAAAAAAGAAAAGGGACAAGACAGAAAATACAAAAAATATTAGAATCATAACTGAAAACAATCACACGTAAGACACGAAAATAATAATTATAACAGTAAATCACAAACAAAACTAAATTACATTGAAGCACAAATACTCTCTCATATTTTAGATACCAAAAGCTATCAAAAGTATATTTAAGCTCAAACAGGTGACAAGAAAGTAAATGATAAAATTCACAATATTTATATAATATCTGTCAGTTATCTCTCACGTTAAAATAAATAAAATTGTTTTTGTGAAAGCGTTTAATAAAAACAAGCTTTGATACATTGCCCAAAGTGATTCAATTCGTATTACAGTATCAAAATACAGATTGCCACGAAATTAACATATCTAATACAATCGCACAAAGACAACTGATAAATGCAAAGGAGAACGTGTACTCCTTTGAGGCGGTGCTTTGTACCGTACACAAGACTTAGGACGTTGGTGGCCTCGGGAGAAGGCGGCTGAGATGTACGAATATTCGTTTTGCAGGTGTTGTATTTCAAGTTGAAGATATTTTACGGGAAGATTATTAGTGTAACCGGAAACCTTTCTCTCAACGTTGTAGTTTGTAAAGACAGAATGCAGACATTTGTAAATAGGTGCAGTCTTCTAATCAAAAGGACTCATAAAAATTTCGGAAACCGTTGACGACATGATCATTGTCGCCGACCCATCATCTTTTTTGTATCCTGAATACAGCGAAACATTTTTTTTATGATTGACACTGAGCTTTCTATTAGTTGCATTAATTGCGTCATAAAATTGAGCCGGTTTACAAAATATCGACTTTTAATTTTTATTTTTTTATTTTTTATTCAGATTTTTTAAACCACCTCCCTGATGAGTTGGGTGTTTTTGAGACAGGCCACTGGACTACTTCAAGTGAAGGGTTATGGCCACATTTTTTAATCATTGTGAACCTTCTTCGATGTTCTGTTCTTGCCGCCACAATTCCTCCTATTTCGGATTGTACAACAAAACTCGATCCCGGCGAATATGATTTTACATTGTGTGATTCTGATCGTGATTTTTTAAATATAAGTGTAGGTTCTTAATGTGCACCCAGTGTCAAAGCATTAGCATAAAACGTACGATAATTACTACGCACTTTCCAATTAGCATCCAGACCAGCATACTAATATAAAGCAGTCCATCTACGAGTCTTTAACAAGACATACAACCATTATGTAAAATACCAAGATTAAGGCAACATTAAATGGATATAATTTGGTCCACGTATAAGGTTGCTCAAAAAGCTGGCAGTTTCCCTTCTTTCTATAGCTATCCATAAGCTGATATCCGTTAGGTGTTCCAGTCGGCCAAACAATTATTTGGACATCATGTCATAAAACACACAATTTCATAGAACACGAAAATGTAGTCGAAGCCGAGGATCAGTTTCCATATCTTACGATGTTGTCGAGTTTGAGTATAATTCACTATTGATTAAAAATTTAATACCGCCTCTATTTCACTTTGAGTCAAGGCATATCATCGGGGCATAAATAGCAATTCTCTTTATTTAGAGCGCCGTCTGAGGCAAGAAAACGAGATTGGAATATTCAAGCTTTACATTTAATGCATATGGAAAGTAAGTAGAATACACTTGAACTTAAAATGTTAAGTCGTAAAAATAGCTGACGGGTTTATTTACAAAGCAAACTATAACTAGTATTGCTCTGATCATTGTAACATTGACGGTAGAATTATCAGTCTGTCCAGAACACGTCTGGATTCATCTTGATATCGAGATTAAATTTTCTGACTCGTTAACTTTGAATTATTTCTCCGCTAAACTCACTGTAGAGTAGTTGAGCTCTTTGCGAAAAAGTTTGTCCAGAGACGTATTACCACCCAGTCTGTGGCTCGTTACTGGTGGGCCCGAATTGGCGGCGAATGTGTTCCACGTCCACCTCTCAAGGTGGTTGATGGGAAGGTAACATCTCTCACATTATCGATTTGTCTACTTATCAATGGAAGTACATATGTATGTATTTCCATTGATAAGTAGTAGTATTCACACGTAACAATGTATTATTGGTTACGTAGTAAGTTATAAATAACCCTATATTATTAAAGCCACATGTCATCTGGGTAGGTATTACAGCCTAACCTTTGTCGCAAAGTAGCAATGTTGTACCCCTTCACGTTGATTGTTTCGTCTTGTAGTGATTGCCGACGAATATCCGTGTATTAAGGTGGAAATTGAAAACTAGTATACATTGCTTAGGTTCTGTTTTTTCATTAGCTATAACTTACCCTGCTATGTTTTTCATGTATTGTACTTTATTGAATAATATGCCTAAAGGATCAATTTTGAATTCTGGAATGACAAAGTTGACCAGAGTCAAGGACTTTGGCTTATGAACCGAATGATGTTGCGAGTCGCGCCGAGCGTTATTGTTATAACTTTTATTATTACTTCTGAAGAGAGATGCAATGCCATTTTTCCTATTTCTGCTGCGAAGTAATAACCTGAGTATTACTGCGTCGGTTTTTAAGAGTAAGGGTGCTGGAGAAATTACTAGCACATGAAACTTGTCAACATGTGACAGACGCAGTGGCAAGGTCCATCAAATCTTTGCGATTTAAAGCTCTGGGTGGCACTGGAAATGTTATGGACATACTTGTCGCTTAACACCAGGCGTACGATTTCTTCGTCCCGTCACTTGTTATCATAAAAAAATAGGCACAGAAGAAGAAACATAAACATTGTATTTATATCCAAAAATCAGTTATTGTAACTAATGAGAAATAACAATATCTCATGAGATATCAGTCTGAATACCGTAAAAAAATTGTTAATATTAATCTAACGACATGTGACAGAAACTTACGGCTCAACGCATTTCAGATATACTGGGAATTCAACTCCAGGGGTAATATTGCATTTTCTTACCCCGTATTGGGATATCCAAAACAGACATGCGTGTTTCACACTCGCTACAATTTAAAATTTGTCAGCCAAAGGCATTTTTTTACTTTTCTTTCGTAGATTTTAAAAGATGATAAAATGCCCTTCAAAAGAAAATTCCTTCTTCAAAGTTGACGAATATTTTGACCTTATGCGTGTCTTTGTTAATAATTTATTGTTGAGTTTTTTTTGGTGAAAAATATTATTACCATTATGATTTTATTAATATTTTATTTGTACGTTTGTACATCTTTGAATTTAATTATGCAATACAATAAATTACTAACAAGATATTTATTCTGTGTTTTTGACATGTTAAATGCTATAGTCTGTAACATGGCAAATAAATTTATGAGCTAAATCAACTATATATATACATACAAATCTATATTACATATTGTATACATCGTTCCTGAAATGAGAAATAAATATAAGATGAACTGTTTTTGACACGCTCAATTTTTTTTGTATGTCTCAGTTGTTGATTTCGAACTTGAAATTTTATTCATCTCAAAAAGAGTACATAAGTACTGATATTTCTTTAATTGATGTTATCTGTCGTATCATCAATAAGGAGCTTTTTTAAGATATAAGGCAGCGGGATGAAGAAGTCGTACATACAAAACACAAACACACAACGTAACATACATACAAAAAAAAACAAAAAAAAGAACATACAGTCGAATTGAGAACCTC